GAGTTTCACTTCTCTCTTTCGAAACCTGTGTGAGGCTTTTCCGCGTGGATACTCATGACGCAGCCTCAGTTCTCACTCTCATTGCGTGTCCGCTTTCTAGAGAAGCCAGTCAGCGTCAACGCAGATCCAGATTATAAAATCGCCAGACTCAGATTGTCCCCAGACCCCGAGCATGGGGCTCGTGGCGCCCCGAACCCTCCTCCTGCTATTGCTAGCCCTGACCGAGACCTGGGCAGGTGAGTGCGGGGTCCGGAGGGAAACGCCCTCCGCCAGGCGGAGCGAAGGGACAGGCGGGCAGCGGCGTAGGACCCCTGGGGCAGGCGCGTCCCCACTGGCCCAGCCCCTCCCCCTCCCTCCGACCCCTCCTCCCGCGCCGCCTCGACCCCGCTAGGTCCTGATTTCCGCCCCCTCACAAGTACCGCCGACTTTCAGACTCTAACGTCCTCCTCTCGCCCCCTCGTCCCTTCCGGGCCCATCAAACTCGGACCCGAGACCCGCGCAGGAAAAAGGGTCGCCAGGGTCTCAGCTCCTCTCCGCCTCCAGGTTTCCACTCCTTGAGGTATTTCTACACGGCCATGTCCCGGCCCGACAGTGGGGAGCCTCGCTTTCTGGTCGTCGGCTACGTGGACAACACGCAGTTCGAGCGGTTCGACAGCGACGCCGCGAGTCCGCGGGTGGAGACACAGGCGCCGTGGATGAAGCAGGTGGAGCACGAGGAGCCGGGGTATCGGGACAGGAACACGCGGATCTACGAAAACACCGCACGGACTGCCCGAGGGAGCCTGAACATCCTGCGCAGCTATTACAACCAGAGCGAGGCCGGTGAGCGATGAGGGGCCCGGGTCCAGGTCACGACTCCTATTCCCCAGGATAGCCCCGACTCTCCGGTCTGAGCATCACCCCGAGGTCCGCCAACAGCCCCACCCCCACCCACCCCATATCTGGGAAGAGCCCTCGGGGATTCTTTCTGGTTTTATTTTCGGTTTACACCGAAAAGGCTTTGGCCAACCACAGCCACAGCCCGTAGGGCTCTCGAGAGGCGAGGCCGAGCGGGCGGAGCTGACCACAGGGGCGGGGACAGGGTCTCACACGTACCAGTGGCTTTCCGGATGCGACGTGGGGCCGGACGGGCGCCTCCTCCGCGG